ATCCTCCTGACTGCTGTGATGACCGTCTGTGCCAGCACACTTGGCTCTAACAGTATTTTATTAACAGCCCTGGGAATCTCGCTCTGTGGTGGAGCTGTGGATTAGAATGCAAAGGGCTCAGACCTTGAACTTATCAAAGCAAATATGTGTGTAGTTTTTTCAGTATGAGGTCTGTAGCAGGGGTGCTGAATGACAGAGCTAAAACCCCCAACACCACTGTATTAGCTGCTTTGTTTTGAGACGGGCCCTCCTAACACCTAGGCTGACTTTGAACTCTCCGTCTTTGTGAGTCCCCCAAGGACTGGCACTAGAGGTTCACACCACCTCATCCAGCTGCAAGTGTCTTTCTCCCCTCCCCCTCTCTGCCTTTCTCCTTCCCTCTCTCCCTCCACTCTCCCTCCCTACTCTCCTTTCTCCAGGCTGAATTACATCACAAGTCTTTAACAGAGGCTCTTGCTAGTCACTACATTACCCATTTTGGGCTTGGATTTGAATTTTGGGATTCTCCTGCCCCAGCCCCCTGGGCATTTGCAAGGAAACTGATTCTTCACAAATTAAGTATTCAATTTTTGTTCCTCAAGTCATAGCTCAGCAGAACCACGTAGCACACAGCTTTAATCCTAGCACTAGCGGGGCTAAGGCAGGAGGATCAATGTGAATTTGCAGCCTGTTTGGGCTACATAGTGAATTCAAGGCTGGTCTGAATTTCATGCCGAGACTCTGTCTGTAAAAAAAGAAGTAAAAGTAACAAATAGGTCAAAGATGATGGCTTGTGATTTTAGCGAGGGTCCTGACTCTCATTGCTTGGACTTAGCTCAATTCCCATCAACATAAGGATTGAAAAAGAAAACAGGCACAGTGGTGGGCTGTAATCCCAGTCCTGCAGAAATTGTGGCAATAGAACCACTTTCAGTTTGAGTCCGACATGGTGTACACAAGTTCCAGGGCAACCTGAGCAATACATCCAGACTGTCGCTAAACAAAAATAAAGAGAATTAAAATGGTGCTGAAAAAAATTCCATATAGGCAGGAATATTTACCCATGTCTGAAATGTTGCTTACTCATGAAGCTGAAGCAGTATAATTGCAAAGTCTACACCAGCTTGGAAAACAGTGAGATCCTGTCTCAAAGTAAGAAACAGGCAAAAAATAGAAAAAAAAAAAAAAAAACTAAATTGGTGACTCTGAGCAAAATGCACATTCAAGGCATTGTACTGAACACAAAAGTAAAAAAGCATCTATTTAATAGGTTACACCAGGCCTTTATTAAGTTTTTGTTTGTTTGTTTGTTTTCTTTTATGTGTTTTTTGGTGCTATTGTTGGCTTGTGCATATTTCTCTCTTTTTTTAAGACAGGATCTCTCTAAGTAGTTTAGGCTGACTTTGAAAAGTTTAGGCTCCCAATGTAGGCCAGAGTGCCCTACAACTTGGAGTGATCCACCTGCCTGAGTTGGGAGTGTACTGGGATGACAGGCATCCCCCCCTCACCTGGCTACAGTAGTTGTTTTTCATTTGTGTAATACTGGGATTTAAACCAAAGTCTTTGAATTGATGACCTATCCATACCTAGTTTTTATTTAACAAAAATTTATTGCAAATTATTCTTGTAAAGTCATTAAATTGTCAGGAGGAGATTAAGCTTCAAATTCTCTTTCCTTTGATTCCCAGACAGCTGGGATTATAGACTTGTTCTGTCTTGTCTGAGTCTGCAGTATTTTAAGAGACTTTTTTCCATCAATTTTCTCTCCTGCACTCTATCACAGAGCCCTAAGCTGTAAAACAGAAGAATTTTAACAACCTACTGCAGAATTAGCATTTTCCATCTCTAACTTCCAGATGCTCTATAACAATGCTGCATGTCTTTTATACTTACT